GATCTTTGAGGTCCTTTTCAATCCAAGCCATTCTACGATTCAGTTTTTGCAGCCATGGAAGCATCAATCAGCAGCACAGCCTGGCGTAAGCTGATCGTCTCCAGGGCTGCTTGAACTCGAGCTGTGGCAAGGTCACACACGCCAAGCAGGAGAGCTACAAACAGCTCTGAGAAGGGCGGAAGCACCCAGGGATGTTCCTACCAACCAACTGCAGAGCACAAGGAAATCAGACAGCCAACAACCTCCAGCGATGAGGAACAAGGTACTGAATGAAAATATGAATCCTCATTTAAAACCATGTGAGGGCACCAGGGATTTCCAACCACAACAAGAAGGAAGCAAGCACATCATCTTGTTTTATTTAGAGGGGATGACTGAAGCAGAGTTGATGGTATAAAGTACATGCAGTTTCCCACATGCAACCAAAGTAGGCTTTTAAGTCAAAAACGGTTGGAAAGAGTTAACTGATCAGTGGTATCACTCAAATCAGATGCCGAATCAGTGGTCTAGTTTGCCCCTGCCACAGAGTGATTAATACATTCACCAACACATAGAGGCAGGCCCCCCATCTGTTGAACAGTATTAAAAAACACTCAGCAACAAATGTGCTGTCAATGAATAAGGTGTATCAGCCTCTAATGAGCAGCTATTCTTTCCAGAAGAGCACCTTGTGAACAGTATCTATTCAGAAGTTCTGTATAAATAAAAGACAGGACTCCATATCAGTGAAGAGCCAAATATAAACTCCTATTATCCCATGTTCTTACTGTGCCTACTACCACAGAATAAGAGTTCATTAAAAAAAAGCATTAGTTGATGAACAGGGAGCTCAGGCAGAAAAAAAAGGAGCAATTAGCAAAGTTGAAGTTCTATCCATAAGTATATAAATACAGCTATTGACACAGCTAATAAATATTAAAAGTTTACAGTTTACCTATATAGTTACTAGTTGTACCATCGTGGTTGTATAACCAGTTCCTCAAGGTGCATTACAATTAAAAATTTAATAACAGCCAATTCCTTTGAGAATCTTAAGCTATAATGCAGTTGCTACCTGAACACTGCTGTATTACGCTCATTTAGAAAAGATGACTCACCACCAACATAATGGATTTACTCTTGGAATTGTGTAGAAGCTCCATGAAATTCCAAAGCCACCAGTATGCAGCATTTGGCATTACTGGCACAAAATCTCAGCTTCTCATTAGTGGCAGGGCTTAGGATTGCTAGGATTTAAAATACTCCATAATCAAGTGTTCTTTTCCCCAGCAGAGATCACAAAATAAGAGGCAAAGAAAGCACTCAAAAAACAATCCTGAAGAATCTGTGGCCTTGGGCAGCATCCAACTAATCAACAATGGATAAAATAAAAGAAGGTAACTTTTCACACTGTTTTCTTAAGGCATGATACTGCCAGATAGAAGCAGCAAGTTCTGTTCCCTGAGAAAGATGGCCTTCCCAGACACTGAGGGCTGCAGTGAGAAAACCTCACACAACACCAACCACCACTGCTCTTCTGGCTGCTCCCACAGCTGCAGCTGCTCACCCCCTTTCCACCTGCCCCAACTCTCCTGCGCTGTTTTGCAGATAATCTGTGCACTGTAGCAGATCTCAAGTCCTGCAAGCAAAGCACCAAGTTCCTCCAGCTTCCCAGCTTAAATGGGGACATCCCCACTCCCCTCCCACCCCATTTGCTTTCCCTAGTCCCTAGTGGAAGTGCTCTCATAGCACCTATAAAAGCATAGGTCACACAACTATTATAGTTGAGAGCGATGTGGAAACGTTCTCTTCAGGAATGACTACAGAGATCTTTGTTTATAATAAACTGTTTTATTGCAACAGTTTAGTATCTCTCCAGATGGAACAGATCTGCCCCAAGTTTTGCTAGTCCTCCATAAGGGGAAACTACCAACTATACCTGCAGGCAGGATAGCTGCTCCCTTTACAAGTCCTCTTATTTGAGCACAGAAGCTTCTTCAGAAGACTTAACAGGTCCAGCTTCCAAAACATTCTGTAAATGATAGGCATCAGTGCTCATAGACAGTATGAAAGTAGGAAGTAGCTACAGATATTCTCAGCTGGGAATTAAACTGAGCTGAGGAATGAGATTGTGGAGTCACATCTACTGGTGATCAAAGGCTGCAGTGATACAATGCCTGGTTCTTACTACTCTACGTCAAGAGGACATAAGCTCCAAAGTATTTTATTTCAGTAACTCAAAGGGATGAAAAAACTGAAAAACAGCAATATACTTTAATAAAGCATCAACATATTTTGAGACAACAACAGGTAAGGCTGTCACAAAAATACAGACACTAACACTTCAAGATTATAGGAAATTAGATTTTGGAAGCAGATGTGGAGCAGCCACACACACTTACATTCAGCTGTAATAGCCTGAAAGCTCTGAGAGGTATGAGAGAAATGGAAATAAACCAAACTATTTTGAACAGCACCCCAAGTGCATGGGCCAGTCAGCACCAGAGTGCAGTTACTGGAAGACGATAGTTCATATCAATTTTTATGTACAATGTAAACCTCATTTTTAAGAAGTTCAGAAGTTACCTTTCAACACAATGCAGACTGAACACGTAGAGGCTGAATGTAGAGGCTGGATAGCATGCAAATGCAATTAACACATTTCAAAATATGCAAACCGAGTTCAATTCTACTCTTCTGGAAAAACTAAAAGCAAACATTCTGTGATGCAGCAAAGCTTTTACGTATGTGCTTGAAGTACACGGACTAGATAAACTCACATAAAATTTAGCAATCAACCTTCAGTTCTTAACAGATATGAACTACAGAGATCCAACTCTTTCCAACCCAACATCAGCAAGGGTGTCAGTGTCACACCTGTCATTTCATACTTTCAAACTACTGCTGGCTGAAAAATTCCATGCTTTTCCAACCTGTAAGGCCCTCGGAGGTTTTGGCTGTTGTTAGTTGGGGCTTTTTTTTTTTTTCCCTTCAGTAGCTTTGTTATAAATCTGCCATCGCTGAACGTGCTGAATCCCAGCAGTGAGCCTGGGGAGGAGGCAGGCACAGTGAGAGCCTACAGCCAGTGCCAGGGTCTGTGACAGCACACAGCAAGAAGTGCAGGTGCTGTAGGAAATGCATAGGAAGTTACTTCCATCAGGCATTCAGATGGATTTACCTTTATATACTGCATTCCTTTGCTTATGATATCAAGGAGTGAAAACTATTTTTCTTTCTAAACCATAACCAGTATTAGCAATAAATTCAAGAAGCAATGCAAATTTACAACAAAAAAAATCTATTCTAGCACAGTGATGCTACTTGTTCAAATGGCACCTGAAGATGGTTTCACATTACTAGCAGGGAGAAAACCCTTCCTTCTAGATGTCATTATGAGAAATAGGAATTAAAAACAATGAAGATTCAGCCATGTAAGTTTATCACCACAAACATAACTCAAAAATAAAGGGTGGCTAATTTGAAACAATAAGTGAAAGAGCTGTTGTGCCCTCTCCAAGGAGGATACGTGCACTTTGAGAAGTGCTGCATGATTGTGCATTACTTTCTTCAGCCCCAACACAACCATCACCAAATTTTAGTTGTGTACTCAATAGGAGACAAGAAATTCCTTTCAAACTTTTCGTATCATATTTCTCCAACAACTACCCAATTGTCTGAAGGCCCAGAGTTTTCAGGAGTTGTGTGACATTACATTCAGTGCTTACAAATTTCTCACAGGCAGTATTCCTAATCTAAGATAAAAGTAGTTAAAACTAAGTGATTCCTTTCTTTCAGCCCACCTAATTTTGAGCCACAGCAGCACATCACTTAGATTCTGCTAGGCACATACTGTGGTTATATCTACAACTAGAAGAACAGAAAAGGAAAAGAAAGATCCATTTTATTTTAATCCTGACCAGCACATGTTAGCAATTTTCTTTAGTTATCACTGTGGGACATGATGAATAGGAAGACTCAATATGCTGAGGAACTAGAATATAGTATACAAGTGCTCTCAAGGATGTTGTTCAGCACCAAAGTTAGTTTAACCAGGAACCACAGACTGTACGAGATGACATATTTCCTGGGAGTATCTATCATGCTTCAGAGAAGCTGTCTGATCACAAGGGTAGTATCTGAAAGGACTGCATGATCTTGTGCTATACAGCTACTGTATCACATCACTGAAGGAGCAGTATTAATTTGAGGTAACCAAAACCAAGAAATCTGCATAAAAGAACAAGTTGAGGTATTAATATTTCAAAACTTCCCATATACTTTGCAAATAGTGCAGAGAAACTGGATACACAAGAATATAAATAAGAACATAAGTGTAACAAAGCTAATCTCCAATAAACAGAAAAACAGATTTCATGTATTTTAAGACTTAAAGCATTAAAAATATTACCTGATTACACCAAATAGTAGCGAAGGAATAGGGTTCTACCCCTAGCTGACATAATCAAGTAAAAATTAATTTGGCTCTTCCAGTTTATTTCCCTTCCTCTCTATACACGCTGTTATAACTTCAGGCAGTAAAGTTACTGAGTGACACAGGAGCTGAAAAGCAAATGTAAATAAGGCATCTTCCTCTATTAATAGCAATGCTCCAGAGATTTGTGATTTATATGTAGGTAGCTGCATAACAATTTACAGACCATAATTACACTAGATGTCCTCCTGCCAAGGACAAAATAGGACACCGACTACTCTGATACCAGCAATACTATTTGGAAAGCCATCCTTCTCCACATGCACTCTACCCCACTGTGGTTGCATACTCAGTTAAAAGTATGCTGACACCCATCGTTAGCCTGCTGCCTGAAAGCCGTGCCCCATCATTACCAGGCATGGCTCTCAACTCAGATCTCAACAATAAATACTGTTGAACTACAAATCTTACAAATAAAAGCCCAGGGCAAACAATTAATGACTGGGTCCCTGGAAAAAAGCTCCATTCTGAAATACGAAAGCCAAAAGAACAGCATCTTTCCAAGTGCCCAGCCAAGCCATCACACCCATTTTCGTACAAAACCTTCTACGCAGACCATCAGGAAAGACTGGTAATCGTTCATCAAGTGTACAGACATTAATCCCAGAAAGCCTCAGACACATTCCAGCAGATTTTAATTAACACAAAAATGTGGACAGAACTCTGTCCTAGAACTCAGTAAGTTTTTATTAAAGCTTAAGTTTTACAAAATTCAGAAGAAAGTAGCCAACAAAAGCATGAAATACAAGGCAACATTATCATCTCAAACAACTCACGAAGGAAGCAAACTGCACTAGAAGAAACTTACACATCTTCAAGGAAGGTACCATGTAAAGCACACTGCATTAATCTAGACTTGACATTATAAGGTCATGTGTTGCTGTGGCAAGGTCCATACTAAACACCAGATCAGAGACAGAAGATTAAAGTAAAACATTAGATGTCACAGTCACTGTTCTACTTATCTGAGAAAGGCAGAGACTCCAAGGTGAGCAGAAACTATGAACCTGCTTAATAAAGGCCATTCTCACAAAGAAAAGGTACATCCAACACTTTCATCCCCTCATTAAAATGGAAATACTAAAAAGGAGCACTCCATAGCATATCCCCATTGCTTCTGACTGACGTGCTGAATCAAAGGTGAAAGGAGAAAGAATTAAGAGCTAATTACAGCAACAGGTCATCTAGCACAAGGCATCATATCTGAGCAGCCTACCAACCAAGAGAGGAGTTTTGTTTGCTACTTAACGAAGCTACTAGTTGTACACTTCCATTCATGAGGCATAGAAAAGGTTTGATCTGGAGGTCATTCCAGGAAACACTTCACCCTGTGCTTAAGCACACATGCAGCCTAATAGAAACCAGTGACTAGGAAAACAGAAAAACTTATCTGCAGCATTTCCTTCGGAGTACTTCTGAGAAAAACACCCATCTGATTCTGACACCAAACAATGACATCAGCTTCATTAGATTTTGTTTTGTCATGCTCCTGATGCTGTCTATATACTCCAAAAAAAAAAAAAAAAAAAAAATCTGATTGATGATGAAGGCACAATTATACAAACCTTAACATTCACTTTAAATGAGGCTATGCAGAAAAGAGGGGAGGGAAAACGAAGATGAAGTATGTTTCTGTTCAAATAATTTTATTTTCCCACAGCCATATAAATTTAAAATATGAAACAACAATAATACAGCTATAGAATCTAGTTCTTCTTTCAAAGCAGCAGCATATAAAACATATAAAAGCTAAAACCTCAGCACAAGCTTAAAAAAAAAACAAGGACTGAGTGACTTTTGCTGAAGACATGATTTCACAAAATACAATACACAAAAATACTGGAATGCATAAAATATAAAGCTACACATTCTAGGTAAAGAATGACATTGTAAAATATACAAAATTGCAAAATTAAGCCAAGGGATTTGTGGGTGGGTACCATGAATACAGAGAAGTTGGCAATTAATACTTGTAGATGAAGAGAAGAAAGAGACAGCTTTATATTCTGAATTTGTTTTCCAAGTTCACGATTTAACTTTCTTAGCATCTTTCTTTCCAGAGTTTTCAGCAGCCAGGTCTGCTTTTCTCTTTTGTGACTAAAAGGGAGAAAATTATTTTAAAATTAATAAATCCATAGAAATGGTGACATCACATTGCTTTTTTGCAGTATGTTAACTAATCAAAAAGATTAGCAACATTGATGTACTGCAAGTTCCAATTCAAATTTTACAGGCCAAAACAGCACAGTGAACAAAACAATCTTAGCCATAGACAGAATTCTGCCACCCCTTCTGCTTTCCTTAAGACCTGCACAAAATGGTCTCAATGGCACAGATACCATACAGCACAAATTAGATACAATCAGGACCACAATTTGTTTTATTTTAAAGGATTGTCATCTTTAAAGCAAGTAAACAGAACACTTCTAATTTCTTCCTCCAGGAACTACTACAAAGGGAGCAATGACAATCCTTAGACTCAATTAGAGCCAATATATCATGTATACAAATAGGCAGGAAAAAAAGAAAGCTTTGTTTTCTTACTAGCTCCTCAGTTACTTACACTAAAGCCTCTTCTGAGGAAAAAAATGGAAAGACCCAAGCTGGATGAATTGGGAATATCAACAACAAATCTAGGGGAGTTGTTAACACAGGTATTTGTTTAATCTCTCAACTAATGGTATATACTTGAAGCCATCAGATGCTATTATCTTCATTTTCTAACAAGATACAAAGGAATTCAGCCCCACTAGAAGTAAGGTGCTGCTCAACATACCGATGTGACTTTCGCTCCTCTTTTCTTCTTTTCAGCTCTTTCTTTTTCCTCAATTTCCATGTTTTCTTTCTCTATTAAAGATATGAGAGTATTGCAGCGTCTCTGAAACTCCTGAGGAAACAAAACAAGTTCTAAATAAAACTAATTAACAAAAATAGCTGAAATTCTTGAATTCCAAAGTACTCCATTTTTACAGAGTTGTCTTTTTCTTCTGAACCAACTACAGACTGATCCAGTCTTTTGTCTTGTTTAGATGAAGCAAATAATACACTGCCTGCCAGCATACTTCGCCAGATTTTAGAAAGAGGTCTTAAGGTACATCTTTAACACAGAAGAAAAGAAATCCAAACCATCTGCAGCATTAGTTTGCTGTGACACACGGAATCTCTTTGCAAAGAGAGAACACAGTGCAGAGCTCCAAACTAGCAAAGACCTGTGCAGCTTTAAGCTTAGAACTCAGTGCTGAATTTTGGTCAAAAAGCACCCAGAATGTAGGAGGCCTTCAATACTTGTCAACAGCAAGTCTCCCGTGGCATCTGAAAGCAATCTAGATTAAATCACATAATTTTTCTTTTTTTTTTTTTTTTTTTTTTAAAAAAAAAAAAAAAACCTGTAAACAACATTCTTCAGTACAACTGCCACCAAGCTGGCTTGGTAAAGAAAAATCCATTTGATTCTTTGTATCCCATCTGAGAATAAAAAGTCTCCTATGAAATACAGAATAAGTACATACTACTGATATTGTGTTTCACGCATGTTGTGAACAGCAATTCCACTGCTTTTCTTTTCTGCTCAAAGAATAAATATATATATATTCTATCACACTCATGTGGAAGAAACCCCACAGCAAAAGAAAAACCAATTCGACCACTACAAACCTTCAAACTCCACACAAACACTGGCATTCAAATTAACAGTCAGCAAGTATGAGAAAGCTTGGGTGCGAGCAAGGCCAGGGGTGTGTTTATCATGCCAAATACACCACTCTCTTTAGACCCCTAGGGACGACTAAAAGCAGAGAAGAGTAGAAAGATGATCATCCACGTGGCAGAGGCACTTCACATTGTTGGAATCTGTGTACATTGCACTCAGGGACTTCAGAACTGTAGGTAAAGACCAGTGACGACCTGTTCCACACAAAAACCATTACTTCAACCTGTATGAATGTAAGAGAAATTGGCTTGTGCTAAATTCAAGACAAACCATTATCAGAAAGGTGTTGAGAAATAACCATGCACCATTTGCCTCAAGAGACAAATACTCTAATTTCTCAGGTAAAAAATGTCTGCATAGACACATTCAGGTTCACACTTGGGGATTCCCAGATGGACTGCCACTCCAGAGCATGCTGTGGACAAAGGACTCAAAAACAGCTTTCTCAGTAGAATCACAAAAGCATTTGACATCAATAAGCAGCATGCACATGGACTTCTGCTACACCTACTATCACAGCATGATGAAGTCTGCCTTCAACTGCAAGTAGTACTGTATGGGCTGATCCACCTCATTTTAGTGCTATGAAAGTACACTCAGTCTGAAATGCCTTGCACCTCTGCAGATGCAATTTCATTCAGTATGGCCTGATACTTTCCTCTTTAGGGTTGAAAGAGATAAGATGTACTCTGCTCCCTGCTTTCATGGCTATAACAGCTAGTATTGCAGGAAATAAGACGGGTGCGCTGAACCATCACCTCCTTCTGCATGACTGAAGGCAGAGATGTTGGCATGAGTGTGAAAGTAGTTCAAGGCTCTGTCAACAGGTCTGAATATTCCCGTATGTACAGTGGGTCATTTTTCTTACACTGGGCAGGGTCTGCAGAAAAGCCAGAGGGCATGCACAAATTATGCCCAGAAAACAGAGATGATTCATTATTGTCACAATATTCTGCATTCTTCCTACATAAGACAGAAACAAATCAAACATGCATGCCTCCACGCCATGTTAAGAACTTTATCACTTTAAAGAGCACCTAAGCTCTCTCTCTGCAAACTTACATTTTAGATTAAAAATAAAAAAAACTGTTAGTGGAATAAGTCAATGAAACAATTTATTTTTGCTTTCCTATGAGAAATTTATAGAAGAAAAATAAGATGGAAGATAAATCAGCTATTTATGTGGAATTCAAGAGACATCTAGTGGATAGTAGAATGCAAAGTCTTCCTGGAAAGCCCGATCACAAGTTCTTCTCAGAATTACACTCCCTGCTTAACTTGTTTCATATGAGTTTGAATGTAATACAAGGTAACTTTGAGGTTACCTGTGAATTTCAGTGTTCTAAGGAGGGGTTTTATCCACTTCCACTAAACTTACTACACATATCCCTCTGTAATGATTTCTATTTATTCTTAGTATGTAATTCTTGGAACCAAGTTACCCTCCAACACTTCTCTTCACAGAAAGTATCAAGCCTGCACAAAACAGATCCACAGAAGTGAATGCTTCCACAAATATCACCATATCTGTATGCATAAAATACACGATTATTGGCAGTTTAATCTTAACTATCCTAACAATTTAAAACTATTAAGAAAAATAAATGCATATATGAAGTGAAAGATTATTTTCTCTGTATTTTCATACCACTCCTTCAGCTAACAGTAGAAAAACAAATCAGTATTACTGTATATAGTTTTATGAGAAAATAATCCAGAATTCACTGTATGCCCCTCCCTTGGTTTCAGCAATAGCAAAACATTTCTGCACTTCAGAAAATGACTCCTTTCTCCTTCAAAAATAAAAATTTGAGTGAATGTATGATTAGGAAGATTTAAACATAAGATTTAACACTACCTCTGACTTAAATATGCCAACCAAAATTAAATGTTGAGCCATATTTTTAATTTCTAGTACCAGTTTCTATGACTGACTTGAAATCTCTCCATAGACAACTTAAAATTAACTGGACTTAATACTGGAGGCTTCTTTATGGTTACAATTTTACCATCAGTAATTCTTCAAACTGACATTTCAGCAAGAAAAGCTTGCTATCCTTTTTAATTAAGGGTAACCACTGGACCATCCAGAAACACTTCAATTGCTGAAATGTCAGGCAAAAATTGGGCTGTGAAGCTGTAACAGTGGCAAAGTACACATTCAAAAACACACCTGAAATATTTCAACTTGTTCTATTATTCTTAGTACTGTACCCACAATTCTGAAAAAACATTTTCTTGACATCCTGAAGGAGACTGCATTAAGTAATGCACAAGTTGTTCTGCTGCACTGAACTATCGTAAACTGCAGCTTTGCATACAAAATAGTATGTGAGTTACATGACCACAATGTAACACTGAATTAGAAACTGGTTTAGGGGGCAAGAGGGAATACCTAGGACAGCTGCATCTAGAAGAGGGTACTTCCCCTAGGTGTCTCAGCCATGCCATCATGCCTAGCTCTCACACCTTAGAAGTAAGATCACTTGATGTTATTATAAGAAAACTGGAAGGACATATTTCCCATGTTTATATGATCACATACAAGATACAAATGCATTTGTTCTTTACATAGTGCAGACCTGCACACTGTACTCATGAATAGGCTCTCAACCAAAATTCAGAGTATTCATATATTTATCTACTGAACTTGGATTCGTTTTCCAAGAATGAACAAAAATCTCCAGAAAATGTTAACTAAAAAGCACTTACATATGAAATCCCTATTAAAAACTAAAGATAAAATAATGATTAGCTCACATTTAGCTCTGAAAACTTCCCTGGGCATTTAAAAATTAAAGAGCAAAGTTAGAAAAGCTGAAATTCCCTCTAAATATCCAATTCAGATGTTTTCAGATTTTAATGTTATCCAATAATTCTGAAGAGCAGTCACATTTTAAGAGATAACATTAAAACTTCCAGCTTGCAACAGCAGTACCTCTGCTACTTGTAAGGCTAGCTTTCTTCTGCATTAGTCCCTTTGGTAGCACGTGACTCAGAAGATTTTCTGTGCACTGTGTTGTTTGCTGTGCTACAGGAATAGGTTGTTTTTAGAAAACTCAAGTGACAGTGAAAGCCAACACTACTTTCTCAGCATGTTTTTCCTAATTTCCAGTATTCTGGCATGAATCCAAAGCATGTGATCTCAGGAAAGCTGCACTTAGTAATGACTTAATCTAATGACTTAGATCATGTAGCCAATACCTACCATTGCTGTTCTGGATTTGATGAACCAGTCAAATCTGAACTGAGGAGCGTTGCGCACACACTGCCTTAATTCCTCATACACATTTTCTTTGTCAAAGCCCATCTTGTGCAACATGCAGATCAAAAATCTGTCTTCCTCCTCTGTGTAATTTTTCCCTTTGTTTGTTCCATACTGAATACGCAACTGATGAAAAGGTGCTTTATACCTCGCGATCTGAAGAGAAACAACCACTGTTAAACACACAGCATGTCACCATGGATTCATTACACATTAATGCTGATCACACACACATGGTTACTACGTAAAAAGCTAGAACTCCCAACCCCAGCTGCCCCCTTTCTGAAAGGATTCAGAAGATTCCATCCCCCTGTAACCACAGGCACAGTAAGAAGCAATCACCCTAACTTAAAAAAATCTTGCAGTAATTACTTTGGCATCAAGGGCTTTCTTGATACTGATCCTCCGTTGAATTCTTGCCTCTCCTCGTTCAATTTGAGCCATAATTCTCTCAATGTCCTGCAGTTCATTGCAACGTTCCCAGAAAACAGCTGAAAAACACAAACCAAAACAATTAGCAAAACAAAGTCTTCCCCTTTATTCTTACGCCTTTCCTCCATTAAAGCACTCCAGCAGAAAATGTAGTGCAGTTTGTAGATCTGTGAAGTTTTAAGGAATTGGTAATACTCTCCCTTTCACTGTGCTAGCCAAAGACAGCTCACACAAACCTTCATTCACCATCTTTACAGGCAACTACATAAGTTGCTCCAGAAGTAACGCCTCCTATTTATTTCCTTGGAAGCTACAATGGATGCAAAGAGCACAATAACACCATCAATAGAACAAATTCTCAGCTACAAAACACTACTTTTCAACAGTCATCATCAGTTCCGCATTTTCAATGGCAAACAAGAGCCTGCATGCCACACCTGTGAACATCTGCACCAGCAGAGATGAGCCCTGCTCACGGTTGCCACTACTGAAACTTACCCCTCCCACCTCTCACTGTGCTCACATCCACTGCTTGGCTACCACAAACGTTCAGCAAGTGTCAATGAATGTCAGTGGGTACCATTTCTTCCATATGGAGGAATTCAGTTCCACCCCTTTGCTTCATACACCCTTCTATGTCAGACTGCCCCTCTGCTGCTGTCTGTCACACAGCAACAAACTGTAACAGGACACTGGTGGGAATGTTCAACTTCTACTGCCATCCCACCAACATCCACCTCTGATCTTGCAGGCCAAGATCATAAAATAGGTGGAATTGCTTGGAGAGCAGCCTTCATATAAGCAGTGATTACTAACAACTGCAAGATGATCTACATGCAAAATAATTAACTGAATTACATAAAACTGAAAAACCTTTAAGTGGGCTTCTTATAACAATGGTGAAACTGGTTAATAACATGAGTAGACATATTTTAATGTCAGCTCTCACTTGCTGGGATTACCTGGTACTTCTGTTATACAAAGAACTTTAATTTGTGGCTTCCTCCCATCACATCTTTTTATTAACTCAGTAATTCAGCACTTTATAGGGAACTCTTGATTAACTGTTTGTGGTTTTGTTGGTTTTTTTGTTTGTTTGTTTGTTTTTGTTTTTTTAAAGCAACAGGGAGAACACTGCAAAGTTCAATTTAATGAAGGATTTCAGCACAATTAATATAAAAATGAAGCAAAGAATTCAAATTAAAAGATACTGCATAAATATCTAGCTAGAATAACAAATATATCTATAAAGAGTTATGTAGCTTCTAAAATACAACCTTATGAATCTGCAAGACCATAGCATCAAAGTCAACTATGCCACCTTTTAGATTTCAACTAAGGGATGGATAAGGACAGCTGCAGATGTTGTATGCTGCAAACAACTTAACATAACTAAGTCACCTAGGAAGAATTACAACAGTTCAAAGAGTTCTTCCAATACACAACCAAATCCTAATCTTACAGAAGAATATGCAGCAAAAATTGTGGATATCAGAACTAAGAAATTTATCTCAACAGATCCACATACCTGAGTACTCAATGACCTCCTCAGGCGATTTTCCCTCCACCTCACGGGCAATATTATCTATATCATCACGGCCATATTTCTCATTAGCTTTAATAAACTGATTAAAATCCCTCTTATTCCAGTTTGTAAAACCCTGTAAGCAGCAAGAGATCAAGAAGCCATTACTAAGGAGAAAGGCAACAAGTTTTGTCTTATGTATGTGTCTTAGTTCCAACTGACAATGCCTCTGCAGTGCCACACAGTCACAGTGGCTAACAGTTCTGCAGGATTTCCTTAACTTCTATGACCCAGGGCTATTAGAGAGTCATTAGAAGTCTAATGAGTTTGAGAGTTGGTTTTTCTTTTTTTTTGTTTGTTTGTTTGCTTTGCATGACTCCGCATGCATTAATAAGAGCTTCTTAGTTTTTTTCCTCTTAAAAATCTTCTCTACAGTATTTCTGCAAAGAAAAATCTCACTGACAGGTCAGTGTAGCTTCACCTAAATCACCCTTCACCAAAAAAGCAACAAAAAGTTTTAGGAGTGGAGAAAGCTCCATTGCAAGTGTCATTCCAAGTTCCTCAAGCAACGCACACAGCTAAAGCAATTGCTGCTATTTACAACATCCACAAATTCTGAACCAAACAGCTGGATGAAAATTTAACTATGTCAGGAAAAAAATCTTGTCTGAAAAGACGCAGTCAAATTCTATAGCACTGTCAAATAGAAAACATGTTGTGTACTGAAGTGAATTCAGAACTGAACAACAGTTAAGTGAAATGCAATGCACAAAAACATCATTCAAGAAAGACATTTTCAAGACAGGGAGAGAAGAAAACATCAACAACATCAAATACAAGCCATGTGCCTTAACAGCAACTTGTAAGAGTATTTCTGTGACGAAAAAAATGCACTACCAGGAACTCTGCCAGTTCTACAGCTGACTCTACTACTAGACAGCTTCGTTACAAGTTTAATATACACAACAGAAAGATTTTTAATCAATCATGAACAGCAGTACTGACACATACAACAACTTAAATATTCCCTCTACTATAAACAGGTGAGATTAACAGATTAACAAATTGTTACCTTGCAAATTTCAAGGTACACTAAGCTCAATTGTTTCAGAGAAAACTTATTACTTTGAGATATACCTTTCTCCTTACAAATTTGTTTTTAATAAGCCTTATTCAGCAATGTACAGTCCAAATTGTCAAGAAACTAGCCAGTGACAGAGACAGCCATGGCAGAAAAAGAACATACCAAACTAAACTGGGGCAGAATTCATGACATTGCTTTATACAGCTGTGTGAAAAGCTCATGTTGATAGCAACTTGTCCTCTCCAAAACCTTTTTAGACAAAAATCAACGGTCAGCTGCAGGTAGAAGGAAGCCATTGCCTGGTTTCTCCAGGGACTGCTTGGCAGGACACTGACCACACAATGTTTGCCTCAGAAATACTGCAGACATTCAGGGAACAAGAGCAGACTAGGAAAGCTAAGACTCAAGGACAGGAAAGGTCACTCAAAAGAAAAGCAAGTCAGAATTGTTGTATCTCTCTGTAACTTCAGTGCAGCTTTCCTTTGCGTGTGGCATCATTATTACTTTGTATTTATGTTCCATGCCAGTAAAAATAATTATATTCATACACACACAATGTAATACTCGACCTGTCCTTATTTTACCTGCGTTAGTAGTTTCTCTTTCTCTTCAGTTTCTTCAGGATTCAGAGGCATAGACTCATCTATCTTCTTTTGTTCTTCTTTTTGCACCTGAGCTGCATTGGGGAGGTCAGGATTCCTGGGAACCTAAGATCCGAGGCATCAACAAGCAATAATGAAATGTTACTAAAGACACGTTGTGATGAATCCTGCTTTACCATCTAGAAGTGCACGTTAAATCTCACAGACTGAGGTGGTAACCTGCACCCATCAAATATCTGTTATCACAGAGCAAATCCAAACAGCATCCCACACCTTGCCTACCCTGAAGGAACAAACCCATAATAAAAATATTTTTAAATACCAGATTACTAAAATACTTTTGCAGCTATTTAACTACCACAAAATTGAATATCCTCCTGTAAGACAAGGCAATGTATTTATCTCTGCTTGTTCCTTCTTGTCTCAGGTAAGAAATGGAAAGTTGCTTCACCTGTAAGTAATAAAAGGATCCTACTCTACTTTTCTTCAAGAAGCTTCAGTTTATCGAGGTATCTTCAATCTGTTGTTCTCTCCTGTCTAAAACACACTCTAGGAACTTTTCTGTGTACATACTTTAACAGGTAGGTGAACTGCTACTGCAAATAAAAGCTTTGCATCAACAAAATTGTACTATTTGTATATAATTGTATGCTTCCTATGTCTAGCCATCTAACAGCCTTAATCCATTTTCCTGTATTCATGTTTCATTTCTAGAAGTCTTACACTTCTTTCACCTGGCATTCCTTCAGTTTTCAGAAGTGAGCAGTGACCAGAACATCCTTCCTCCTTTCCAGGCCTTGAGTTTCAGTCTTCCCAATTCCAATTTCAACTCTCAACCTCACTGAAGCATTCATTGAAGAACTCCTCTCAGCTAATTTTACTTCCTTTAATTCTCATCTATCCTGCCTTACAGAAAAATCTTTTTGCTTCCTACTAGGCTTTAAGACACTTTCTACCTTTCCTTAAAAACAAACAAACAACAACAACAGCAAAACATGTTGCCAATATTTGTTCTACTCTTTTGCAACGGCAGTTTCCTATCTTGCCTCGTATGACAGTTTATGTTCTCCACCACATTTTACAAATGCTTTCTTCTTATCACAATCCCTCATGAGACATGGTTGTTTTGCAGTAAGGTACATGTCTGGAAGTAGGGGGATCTAATCCAGTTAATCAACCAGCAGCGGCACAAGCAATGAAAATCAACATCAGAACACAATGCTCCTGTTTGCCTGGTAATGTCAGCAGGGAGAGGGGGAAATTGTGCTAACACACAGTAGGGAAAAAAATGTAAGTCTCTTGTCTTTTCTTTTGTAATGGTAACGCATTCAGACTTGACATCTTTGAACATTTTATATCCCAACAAAATGCGAGGAAAATTGATGTCACTTAGTTTACCATCCTATCAACACAAAGCTGATTTCAATATTACCTGAAGTTATTTTCTGCATAAGATACACAACTATGAAAACCCACAGCCTGTACTCAGGAAGGTGATCTTGTATTTGTCAAAAACTATTTTCTCACCTTAGAGCACTTTTTTTTTTTTGTGAAGAAAAGTATATTAAGCATCAGAACTGCCTTCAGTTTTTCCACTCAGTCTTACTGCTAGGAACCCACCACAAAGCACAAGGATACCCACATAGGACATTTTTAATAGAGGAAGGAATTACAGACAGCTTTTTCTACTCTATTATGGAACAGAAACAGGAGGAGAGACTTCAAGCCATTTTCATTCAAAATGAGAAACACATTAAAAAGAAATAAGACCAGAACAATAACTTAATACAGTCTCATTTACTTTATTTAGCTCTTTTCAAGAGAATTTGCAAGGATGAATAAAAATGCCAACTATGAATTTGAAGTGGGGGTGGGGAGGCAGAGGAGGGAAGAAAAAGCCTTACCTTATACCCTATCGTCTTACGATAATACAGAATTTCTTTTTCCAGAAGTTCAAATAACCGCGGTGGGAAAAACTGGAAATCCTGAATATTTGGCTGTTTTGGAGGTCGTGGAGCCTTTAAACACAGATAGGTACATTAACATCACATAAGCTTGATTCTGAGTATTTAAACCGCCATAACTGAAGACACTGATTTTATTACCAGTATAGGATGAGAGCAGAGGATGCAACAGGGGAGAAGAGCCAGAGCAGCACAAAAATGATTTCCACACTCGGCGGTTTCTTACCTTTGGGACTTTGGGTTCACTAACACGCAGGGCTTCTCTGAAATACGCATCAACTGCGTAATTAGCTTTGCGTTCTCGTTTAGGAGGCTCTATCCATTCCATCATGCTCAGCTACAAACAGAATTGAATGACAACATAGTGAAGAACAGTTAGGGCAGGCCATAGTCTTGCTACGGTATGGCCAGATACCTTTACAGTATTTACTGACTTTGGTCACTTGAGGGAAGTTATGACTTTACTACTCGAACGCCATTGATGGTCTCAGGCTCTAAATTCAATCATCTAATATGATACAACTGAATTGCTTCTCTAAATATCCCAATTAATAAGCTCTACGAGAACTACAACGTTGGCAAAAAAAATCCATTAGTAGCAGTGAATTAATCTTACTGAAGAACTTCAATTCAACATTATTAAACTTACAAAATCATACTTCAAAACTACATTGTATTAAGCTGACTTCTTGTAATGAAGTTACCAAGAAAAATCCTGATGTTTGTGCAGAGCTAAGTGAATTGCTCAGTAATTTCTACCTTCTCTAGCACAGCCTTTTTAGCCACAACATTTCTAGAGGTCTAAGCATACAAGGCTATGCTAAACTGAGGTCTTAAAGACTTGTCATCCTAAGGAAAATTACCTTTTGTTTTTCTCTATAATCTTCACCTTCAAAGTTGTATAAGCTCATCTCTGTGTCCATAGTGAAATTTCTTAAAGAGCTCTCCCCCATTTTCTGCAGTCGTTCATTCATTTCAGCTGTCTAAAACAGAAAAAGACATTTCTAGGTTTATTCAATTTGTTCTGTTTTCAAAGAAAAAAGCATTCATTATTAAAATCATTTTTCATATTTTTATGCTTTACACTTTTACTTACATTTTTCTTATTATCCAGGAGAGATGCCCACTGCGTTTTCCAATTTTGAACTGACTCTAAGCCTTCCCATCAAACTGAAACTATAAATGCTGTGATGTGGCCCTACAATTATATGATTTCACTTCAGATTTAAATGAAATTTATGCCCAACAGTTTGGAGCTGAAGTGCTAGTTCATATTTTTTTTCCCCACAAAGCTACCCATTCCTCAGTGAAGTTCCATAAAGATTTTGTGTCAATTAGAATTGTTGGCATAAAATTTACACGTTTCTAAAAACCCCATGAATTAAATGATGCTTAAGATGCAGTGCTCAGTCTGAAATGGTGGAAGTAATTACAACTCACTACTCTTACTCCTTCCTAGCTTTGAAATATTTATGAATAATAAAGTAATAGGTGGGCATATAAAGCAGATTTACATATAATTACACCATTCTTGTCTTCTTCAGTAAAATACACTTTGCGTATCTATTTTTCATGTTTGACACACTTCAAGATCTATATAAAACTGCTCTAACCTTCTTTTCTCCTCTTTCTAAAATAGTGGTTATGTCTTCTTCTGTCAGCTCACTGTCTTTGGAAGCAAAGACATGAGTGGCTCCATGCCGGATCATTTGCAGCATTTCATCTTTTGCCAATTTGTTAGACTGCTGGTCTATGAGCCTCCCTAGAATTAGAAGAAATATTAGGAAAGCTACAGAAAAGGTAAAAGTTCCAATAAAACCATGAATACAGAGGATTTTTACAGTTCTCTGGCAGCAAAGAAAAAACAAAAAACAAAGAACCAAAGAAAAAAGTTGTATTTAACTGAAGCTAAAAACAAGCAGAAATTGGGAACTTCTAGGAAAATACAGAATGCAACAACGGGTCATGGATCAAGCCACAGCAAACAATTTCAGTCAGATAATCCATTTTGTGTTTAAGGCATTACTCTTGCAAAGTTAGCTAAACTTAATATTAAGACCCTATTTCAAAATTAAGAATGACAAATTGTTCTAGAATAACCACTGAGTAGAATTCAATCTCTTTTAACACTCACTTCACTGATTTTGACCCATCTTTGAATGCTTTAATTTTTTACAGACCTCTATTCTCTGCGCCAAAATTTCACCAGCCTGGTCTCCACAGACCATCACAATTTTGACCATTATCCATTCAGCAGCCCATTCTTTCAGAAAGGAACAATCCAATGGCTCACAAACTTCACAAACTCAGCCACAGAACTTTGGTTTTTGTCAAACTGTTCTCCCCGAGCTTTTAAGCAAAGTCACACAAAGCAGCTTTAATCTTTACTAAGCTCTGATGTGGTAAGTACAGCTATTCTTCAGTACCTTGCTCATTTAGAATCTCTTTGAATCTATACTCACATCACTCAAGGAAACAGTTGCTTCAAAAATTCCAGCTGAACAATTGAATAACTTCTGTATCATACTTGAATTCAGCATACTGTTACTATACACAAGGCCTGCTTTCTCTCTGGCTGCACTTCTGTACAGCAGTTTAACAAATACTTGAAGGTACTGAACAACTCTGTTGCAGAAAAAAATACATAGCAGTTGATACCTTGTTGTATAACTATAGAGTCCAGCCTCAGTTTTATTTCAGCTCTTTCTACAATCCTCTCTTCAACAGTATTATCAGTGATAAGGCGGAACACCCGTACTGGTTTCTTTTGACCAATACGATGCGCACGATCCTAACAAAAATAAATTGAGTGTTCAGCAACAGAACTCACAAGCAATAGACAGTTAACTTGCTACATAGGCAGAAACATCAAGCTGAAGCTAGCATGAATTTCTTGGCTCCTTGCTTATTCAGCAGAACACAAAAGTTGCCTAGCTACATTGCTGGCTATTACACCTTCTAAATTTGAGGTCTTTCTATTGCAAGAAATACATCTGCTTCACTGTAAATGCACATAATTAAATGTCTGTGTAAACTGCAGCTGTGGGATATACGTATACAAGCCCACAGTGCATTCAGTTCACAACAGAAGCACTGAAACAGCATCCTTGGCTTGACAGCATTAATTCCACATGCAAAGCCCATGCAGCTACAGCTTCAATATCATAGCTGTCCCAAGTTGGCTACAATAAATCAGCAGTATAGAGCTCACAGTGTACAGTATATGAAGCTACGACTAACATTCTGTATTTACATGTATCAGAACAGGTGGTTATTCTCTCTACAAAATATGAATACAAATATTTTGTCTTCAATTTAAAAAAATGGTCCTTTCAAGTGCTGCACCAGCATTCTCTGACTGTCCTTTTAAACAAGATCTATGTATGGTATTCCTGAAATTCCTAAAGCTCACAAGTCACGCTCAGCAGTTTGCAGGAATTTCATCTACGACTGGTAAACAACATGCATCTCAGAAGGAGGTGTGAGATAGTCACAATAAACACTTAATGCACTTAACATTCAAAAGCAGAACTGTCCAAAGCATGCAAGAAGGCTCGTGACATTTTTAATCCACAAATTACATAACTTCATTTTAGAAATTAATTAGCAGTCAGAAAGAGGAAACATTTAAAAATCAAACATTAGGGTTTCTTTGCCCTTCCTTACAAGCAATGATGTTACACTTCTGCAGGAAAAAAAAGGAATTTGCAGAAGCATAACATTTCCAGAAAGGTTCAATACAATGCTGGATGATTTTGTTCTTTTCCTATTACTTTGGAAACAGCCAAAGCACTTTGACTGATTCCTTAATTTGCTGGTAATAGATTGTAAAAAGTAACAAAAAATAACTAGAAAGAAAGTTCTGGAAATGCTCCAACTTGAACAACTTCAACAAAACCACCATGTGTCAGATGATTAACTCACCATGGCTTGCAGATCTACTTGAGGGTTCCAATCTGAATCATACAAGATAACCACATCAGCAGTTGCCAAATTAATTCCTAGACCCCCAGCTCTGGTACTCAACATGAAAATGAATTTACTGCTGTTGGGAGCATTGAAGGTATCTATTGCTTCCTAAAAGAAAAGAGTATTTTTAATGCATTGCAGTTGTCTCCAAAACACGGGTGAGTTTTCAAAGAAACGCCTTCAAAGTTTAAAAACAGTGTTCTATGACAGCACCAGAAGCAACCATGTGGATAGTTTTGCCTGTGCAAACCTACTCAGAGTGAACAAAACACTCAGTTGTTCAATTAGTTGAGGAATGCATGAAATCTACTTTACTATGCTTTCAATTAGAAAAAAGGTCTTAGCTGCCTTTCTAAACTGTAGCATTTTCTTTATTTTAATGAATAATTCCTTTTAAGGAATGACAAACATCATTCTTGACGTATTATATACTTGATCACAACAACAGTTTAATAACAAATTGAGGCGTAAACCAGGCATTTCTTGCTTTCATATCTTTACCTCTCTTTCTTCATGTGGCGTCTGCCCATCGAGTCGGCAGTACTCGTACCCACGCCACATGCAATAGTCTTCCAAAATATCCAATAAACGGGTCATCTGACTGAAAAGCAGCACTCTGGAGCCTGACAACACAGGAGCTTCAGTCGGTTTTATGTTTTCAAGTTAATTTTTATAGAGGTATTGCACTAATTTAAATAACTCTCTTCATAAAGTTGAGGAGAAGTTAAATCAATATCAGAAAAGTAAAACAGGTTATTTGATATTCTCTATAGAAGAAATATACAACTTAAAAACATGGTAAGATGTGCACAGACACCAATCCTCTCAGAGAAGTTTAATCTCTTCTCTAGCAGTAGAAACTTTTCCCTTCTCAATTGCATCACTAGTCTTCTTCACCATTCTTATAAGGCTTCCTTGCAGCCCTCCATGCATTAAGGTCTACTGAAAACTGATTTTCCAAACAAAACCTCACTGAAAATAACAAACACGTTCACTGAAGACAACACGTCTCCACATGCTTTAAAAAGGTAATTTTTACCTATGAGCACTGCTTCGATTGTTTCTGCTCAACTCACCTTGCTCTCTGAGTTTTGCCAGCAGTTTATCCAGAACTAACATTTTACCACTGTTAGTGATGAGATGTGTGTCAGTGGTGTAAGGAGGGCCGGGCTCAGCACCATCAAACAGGTACGGATGGTTACAGCATTTCCGTAACTGCATCAGAATGTTCAGCAGACGCATCTTATCCATTTTCCCAGCTGAATTTAGGATATCAATATCTTTCATCAAGATCCTTGTATACCTGAAGTTTTACAGGCAATTTTGAATAACTCTCAGTTTTTATTTCATATTCAAAGCACGAATGAAATCTGCTAATCCCAATTACTAATCTCCAGAAGCAGGAGCTGTTTCCGTTTACTTAAATAATGAGCCATTTTATTATCAAACCTGAAGAAAACATCTGACTGATACTAAGCACTTATAAATCAATACCTAACACGAACGGCAACTTGCCTGCAAGTGTCAGTGATCTGTCACTCACAGGCATTTCTTCAGCTTTCCTTACATATGACTATGAAGTTGATTAAAGATCTCATTGATTCTCCTGAAGCTGCTACACTGACCTGCCATTTTCATTTTCACTTTTCCTTGGGTACATGGCTCCTGTGGCCACTGGTAGTTTCAACTCTGAGACTTACTGGCACATACCTAGTTGCATTTAACAGAAATAAAAATAAACTTAACAGGCATACATTTTTTCAAATAAACTTAAGGAAAGAAAAGCTCTGCTTTATTCTTCCCATCCCGTTTTATGACAGTTCCTGAGTTCTTCACAGCTTGTGTACCTTTACAATGCCCCAAAAATAGCTACAAATAGTCTTCTCCATTTGACTGCCTTTGTGTGCAGCTACCAAGAAAAAAAAAAACCTTCACGAAGAGTCGTAGTGTTCTGTATCAGAGAAGAATCTTACTTTAATGCAAGTAACTCACCATTCCCTCTGCATTTTGCTGAGTCCAAGATAAATTTTTACTTCTTTCTTTGGAGGCAAACTCTTTTCAACTTCAGCCTTTATGCGACGCAATAAAAATGGCTTCAAAACCTACAAAAATTAAGAGTTTTTTCAAAGACACAAAAATACTTAAAACTGATCACCTGAAATACAAAGTTATTAATTTCTGTGACATTTACTTCAAACTAATCAATATCTGTTGCTATCACAGTGACTCCTTCTGAACAATTCTGCTACAGTCTGCAAAAATGAAGCATCCACTACTATGCTCCCAAGTTCACACTAAAGATGCGCAGTGTTACAGATTGCCATACTCATCCCAGCTGCTGTCCTGAGCAAGAACCAAATCCTTATAAAAGTCTATTTCCCTTTACAGTCTGTTTTTTCCCCCTCTAGAGATGTAAGCAAATTACATCAAGATTCCAAAAGATAAGCACTGTGTATTAGACTTCTTTTGTTGTAAGCGATAAAACAAATGGGGAAGTTGTCTCATTCATAGCAAACCAAAGATGAAGACATGACTCTCAAGGCTTGCATGAAGCCTGTATAAGTTTAGTACTCAGGATAAGTTGCTTCCAAAAGGCCTCAAAACCCATTTTGTATTTTAAGCACAGATTTGGTCTGCTTCAAAACAGTAACACTACAAAAAGCAGTGACTAAACAGCAAGTTCCAGCATTTCATTCATAAGATTTATCTGGGTATTTCTGTAACTCAGTATCTTTACATTCATCTTAACTTTGACTTAGACAAAAGGAGAAATATTCTTTTATTTACTTATTTCACACCACGTATGCTAATGATGACATTGATAGAAGCTTTACTTACAGCATGAAGTCTTTCTACAAGTTTCTGATCACCAAGACAATTTTTGGTATCAAACCATGAGTCAAAATCCTGTGGGAAGAAGCAGCACAAGTAGCATGAACTATGTTTACCATCTGTGGTGATAACAGACACATTGATTCACTTTCACTCCAGCTGACTGACAAACGATTTCTATGAGTGAAAGAAAAGTGGGGCCACAATTCTCTGCCAGCTGCCCAGAAGGTTACAACATTTAAGTCAACTGAGTAACTCCACTGATGAAAACTTCACTACTATGTTCCATTTCCAGTGTTACTCCATGCTCACCACTGGAATATGCACATTCTTGCCTTTAGTGCTTGTTTAACGGTGGGGCAAGAGTTAAAGACAAAAGCCTGAAGAAATAAACATGATAGAAAACATGACAGCAAAAACAATGCAAGTAATGCACAGACATGGGAACATAAACAGTGAGAGATGACTCCAATTCTCAACAAAGAAAGCTTATGCACATTTGGATGTGCCCAGTCTCCGTTCTGTGTTACCTTCCACAGTTCTACTCCATTTTGCAAAACTCTATTTTTCTGAAGTATTAAATTGTTAATGCCAGTCTGAGGCCTTACCTGCACACTAATGTAACACACTATTTTAACCTTTGCAAAAAGACAAAAAATAAAAGAAGAGAAAGGTCCAGAGTTAGGCAAAGTCACAGAGCTCCTACTGAATCCAAGTTTTCTACATCTGATGTCTCTTGCTAGGCTGAACATTCTCTTCCGCAAAAAGCACCTTGAGAATCAAAAGAAGATTTTACTTCCAAACTCTACTTACATCTGCAGAATTAAAGACATCAGGTAGAAGAAAATTAAGCAATGCCCACAGTTCATGGAGGTTATTCTGTAAAGGAGTCCCTGTAAGCAGCAATCTGTTTGTTGTCTTGAACTCCCGGACAATCTCTGACAGCTGGGAATACAACAAATAGTTGTCATCATAATGTACATGTAACATAACCTATTTTCATTGGTTTCTGAAACATGAAATCACATGAACTGAATTTAAAGACGGGGAATATTAAAAAATATTAAAAAAAAAAAAAAAAAATATTTATAACCCATTAGCACATAAAAAAAAAAAAAAAAAAAAAAAAAAAAAAACCCACATACTTAACATTAAAAAACTGCTAAAACCAGAGAGAACATTGTATAAAAATGCCTTAAAAAGATCAAACATCTGAACTTACCTTAGACTTCTCATTCTTTATTCTGTGTGCTTCATCAATTACGAGGTACCTCCAGTTAAATTTTTTGAAGACTGATTTCTCTTTAATGACCATCTCATATGATGTAACACAAACATCCCACTCACCAGGCATCATAACATCGCGGATAAAAGCAGCCTACAGTACAGCAAGTGAATTAATAAGCTTTTATGAAGTAGAAGTATCTTTGCAACTCATGAGAATCTCTCTCTGCCAGCAGCATTGAAGCACTAAGCACACAAAACAAGTCTGAAAAATACTCAGTATAACTGAAAGTTACTATCACTTTCAATCCTTCCCACTTTATGGGGGAAATTATTCTGTACAGAATTAGATATTTGCTCCTTAGGGTATTTTTTTTCTGTAGTTGAAGTACAGTACAAATTACTAAGGGTGCAAAAGAAACACCACACTAAACTACCCAGTCCAAAACACCCCCACTAACGGGAAAGTGGTTTTAAAACAGCCCATCTATTCCCCCTCCACCCCTCTTCATAAAGGTGCTATTAGCAATAGAGATCCATGCAGTCCATCTGGAGAGCCAAAGAAGTCATTCCCCACTTCAAGCAACAAGCCACCCTCCACTGAACTCAATGCCTACACTATGAGAAATGGAAGCTCTGCAACAGGAGCCTAATTAGAGGGGTGAGCATGGACACTGGATGCAAGTACAACTAAGAGCATCACCTGAAGCAGGTGAAGACAGAGGCAACAAGGTGAGAACAATAAAGGAAAATGAACAAAACTGTCACATTGCAAATACAGAGGAGATCCAAGATAGTGCAAAAATCAAGGAGGAAAAGTCAGTCACAGACAGCTGTACTTCAATACCAATTTATTATTTCAATTACTAATTTGCATTTTATCCTCAAGTTACAAGTATAGCATTTTGCATTTTCAATGCTAACATAGTTAAAGACCACTGAAAAATGCTGTAATTAAGAAAGTGGCTTAGGAAGGGTTCCATGCCCCCAGATGGTGGTTTCTGATAGAAAAACACAGACATGGTTTAAATGTAGAAAACTTACCCTGGCATCTTTATCTCCAATAAGGCAAACGGCACGTAATGAAGGAACCCAGCGTTTAAATTCATTCATCCAGTTGTGCAGAGTTGATTTTGGAACCAGGACCATATGTGGCCCGGGAATGTTTCGATAATGCTTCAGATAGCCCAACAATGCTATTGTTTGCAGAGTCTTACCAAGACCCTACATTGACAAAGAAGGGAAAAAAACTTTCTGAAACAAAACACGGTACAGAAAGAGCTTCAAACAATTTCCCCAGTGTAGCACTTTATTGCCAGGTACACAACAGAAGTTTGCCATATGGTATCTTTCACTATTTACAGATCCAGATGTGAAAAAATGTAACTGCTGCGAAATGGCACATACAGTAAATACTAGAGGTACAGTGTTAGAATTTTGCCCAAAACAACATCTATTGAAATTCATGTTATCTTATACATATCTTGTTTCATCATTCATAATTATTCTATTTTGACCAAAGAACTCTTCAAATACTCTAAAGATATAGTAACTTGAACTCCAGATGCAAAGAAACTAAAGAAACTAATTTTGTTTTTGAAACAAAATTAAAGCAAAATCAAGCATGAAAATCTTGGACTTTGAGGCTGCACAAACTCACCCTTCTGGGCAGTGCTGAAGGAAGGAACATGCACACTGTTGTTACTTATGAACATACTAGTCACATACAAAACAAATAAATGCAAATCTATTTCTATCTATTCGAATTACACATGGACTCCCATTTACTGTTTATATAACTGGAATAGTAACTCCTTGAATAATATCTCTTCCATGTATTTTTTACTAAGAATAATGTAATGCACAAAGCACACAATGTACATTCACTGATGGGAAACTGAAGGATATAAAATATAATATACAAATTAATTTGAAGTGGCAGAAAAGGATGGTGAATTCCCACAGAAATTTCCAAAGATCACTGCTTACCATTTCATCTGCCAGAATGCCATTAACGCCATTTTCATACAGTGAGATCATCCAGTTCAGACCTCTGACTTGATAATCTCTTAGCGTTCCTCCTTTCACATCTGCAAATGTAACACTTCTCTAAGTAGAAGAACACTAAGTACAACACTTTGTGTTCTGCTCATCAGCTTCTCATCACTCCAAAGCACCAACAGAATACTCACATGAAGGAGACTCCTCAAATCGAATGCACACGTTCGATGTTTTTCGACTTTCTGATAACAGTTCTTCATCTTCTTCCTGTTCTGTGCGCCTGTGACGATAACTGAAGAACACGAGATGTGTACAGGAAAAATTCAAAACACTGGTTATAAAGCCTAAAAAGAAGTTACCACAGAAATGATTATCCACCCACAATGAGCATGTATGTTCCTGATCTTTGGCCAAAATCACGTACTGTGTATCATCTATTTGTCCTGGTCCATTCCAGCTGTAACTCAGAAGTCTGATATGCATCCCTCTCCTCCAGAGCCATAGCTACACCAACAGGTATCAAACACTCCTTAAGGCACACTTTAATGAGCAACACAGCAATACAACACCCACATCAGCAGTGAACTTAGAATTACTTGTTAAGTACACCATTAAGAAAACACATTTACTTGACTCCAAAAAATATTTAAGAATTGATAAAAAAAGTTTTATTTTGTAAATGCTTCAAAAATTTTGTGTTCATTCATACATAACCCCTCAGCAGCACTGCATGCAGTGCAGAGGCAGTTCATGCTGAGGATCCAAGCCCAGCACTACCTGGCACTGTTTGAACTCGGTCTACCTCTGCTCTGGGCCCACTAACACGTCCACGAGTAGCTGGAACAGACCTGGTGTGTTCCTGGAGAGCATCTTGTAGTGGAGTGTCATGCAAAAGAAACTCAGCTCATGCCACCTTCACAGCACAGACCAGAGCACAGCAAATAGCAATAACCAAGGATTTTACTTTAGAGGTGCTCTCCTGATCCAAGATCATACTGATGCAGAGGATCCAACATGCACACACAAATCCACTTTTAAAGAAACGGTGATACACCACTGACTACAAAAGTTCTGGACTTAAAGCACAATCTCTATTGCTGAATGGATACATTAAAATGAATAATTTTCTTAAAAGCTTAAAGTCAGAAATAACAATTAAACATACTCCCCAGCTGAGATCAAACTCTGCTTTTCATCCTTCTTTATCCGCGGACGTCCCAGCTTGACTTTCAGTGGAGATGTTGGTGACTTTTGTGCTGCAGGCTGGATAAAATGAGCGAAGAGTTCTGTCTGCTTCAGGAGGAATTCAAATCTTTTTGCACGATCTGCTTTCTAGTTTCCAGAGAGAAATAAAATCAGTAACTGTTCTTCATAGGAAAAAAAAGTGTATTTTTCTTAAGAAACAGAATTCAGATATTCATGAAGACAACTTCTGAGCATAGACTCGGAAGACTCTCTGCCTACTCTCAACCAAGAGGGCTGCAGGCACCACAAAGCAGCTCTTGAGCTCCTACTGCTTACAACTTTGCATCTTTAGAGCATCTAATTGTAATTTGCTGTCGTTCAAAAGGTCCTTCACAAAAACCACAGTAATCTGGAATACAATCAAGAGCTGATAACCTCATCCCCACAACTCATCTCCCTTCAAAACCCAAAAGCAATAAAAACAACTCAAAATTTACTTGGATATATTGCTTACACTGACACAGCACCCCAGTAACTGCAAGGGTGTGCTTCAGATGATATTCTGAAAACATCAGTTCTGAATCTTAGCCTTTCACTTGTCAGCATTAAGACTTTCTGGACCTCACCCAAGACAACACTGTGGTAGCTCTGCTTTTAGAAGTATGACAGAAGTAACAGGGATGCACAAGGTCAATACTGCTTGCACTGAAGTTAGTGGCATTTGTTCTCAGATTTCCAATTTCAATCATGAAGCACATGCACTTCACTATATGAGCACAGCATCTATATATACACAACTCAAATATTTTTAAAAAGAAAAATAGGACAAAATGCAAAACCTATCAGGTTGAATACTATTGCTATCACTTCTTTTATGCCATTTCTAAGCATCACATAATGCTCAGTTCTCACATAGTTTTGTAGGTTATGGTGATACATGAAGTTAAACCACAGTTTTGTACCATATATTTCCTAAAAAAATGTGAACAACGGAATGCTTCTCTGTGGGTAACTTACACATAAAAGCACGTGCCACAGCACCAATCAGTCTAAGAAAAAGGCAGTGAATGAATCTGGGATGCAAGGCAACGTCTCGCCACATGAGGGCAATGTATTCACAATACACTGATTTAGCAGTGAATAACCTGTCACACAACACTTCTGTTCATCATTCAGCTCATCAACAAGCAGATTTACTTGTGTTTTCCATGTCAAAAATTAAGTAGTCATTCAGGCAGGTCAACTTTTCTACATCTAACAGTGATACTCTTCCCTGGCTCTTGTGGCTTTACAAACACTACTGCAATTATTAAGCATCCATTTAATGTTAAAGCTTCTAAGGAAAAAAAAAAAAAAAAAAGCAGCCAACTAAGAACTTAACTACATGAACAAGGTTTGCAAAGTCTATTTTTGCTTTTTTAATACAAAAGTTACCCAATTATCTCTCTTCTTCAGTGCTCCCTTAATTTTTGTCCTAGACAGATGCTCTTTTGCACTGAGTATATATTATGAGGCATATCAATATTTGAAACCTTTGTATTTTTGTATAAGAAAATAGCAGCTTCAATACTGCTTTCATGTAAGTGACCTCTTTTCATTTGGTGACTGGGAAAAGAGAAACAACACTCTTGTTTCTAGGAAAAGGAGAAAGGAAGACTAGGGAACTACAGGCCAGTGATCCTCACCTCTGCACAGGGGAAGATCGTGGAACAGATCCTCCTGGAAGATACGTTAAGGCACACATGAGATGGAGAGGTGACCCAAGATGGCCAGCACAGCTTCACCATGGGCAGAGCGTGCCTGACCAACCTGCTGGCCCTTCTAAGATAGAGGAATGGACAAAGGGAAGGCAACTAATGTTGCCTACCTGGACTTCAGCAAGGCTTCTGACAGGGTTCCACACAACATCCTCATCTCTAAATTGGGGAAATACAGATTTGAAGGCTGAACTATTTGGTAGATAACAATTGGTTGGATGGTCGCAGCCTGAGGGCTGTGGTCAACAGCTTCACACCCAGGTGGAGGCCACTGTCAGGTGATGTCCCCCAGAGGTCCCACTTGTTTTCTCTTTCGTACATATCCTGCCTGTGGGAACTTCTTATTACTTGCAACTTCACTGATACAGTTCAGGCAAACAAACGGTGAAAAAAAGCTGCAGCACCTTTTCTTGTGAAATTACTTACCATCTTCTCTTCATATTCTGGGTCAATCTCTTTTTCAGGCCTGGCTGCCTTAGGAGGAAGCTTGAGTTGAAATGGAGGATCATTTTTCTGGAATTCAAATTGCAAATATCACCATCTTCATTTAACAAAGCAAAGATAAACTTTAAAAACTAAATATTTCAACAGCAAGTGATTGCATTACTTTACCCAGAATAGAATTCACAGTGTTACTAAAAAGTAGGAGAGATGGCCAGATAAAATGTAAATTGAAGCTGAGTCTCATCCTCGTTCGTTTTTACAAGTAGGATCCAAGTTGGAAGGACTGAAGCAAAGCACTAGGAGAGGGCCAAGTTCAGTTTATCACAGAGATCTTACTTGAAATGCATAAATTCAGTATCTTGAAAAGACATTTAAAGAATAAATGTGAAAACTGGAAGTAAATGCCTTCACTCTTATTGTTAGCACTTCCAGGTGAACAACTGGAGTTCAAAAACCTTAAAGTGAAATTGTAAACTAAACTATTCAGGGCCTGGTAGCAAAACAGAACTAAATATCCAACAGCTTGTCAAGCAGAATTATGCTTACTTACATTCCAGAACTGTTACTGATAAAAGAATCTGCGCCACTCAACTCTTTAACTTCAGGCAGAGAGATGCAAATGGGACAAACAATTCCTGATGCTGAAGAATGCTTTTAAAGTTTTGGCCCAAAGATACAAATCTCTGTGGTGATGAGCAGTATTTAGTATATAATTAAGTTGTTTGACTATTCAGTGATTTTATAACTGCCTCTGTTCAGTTGTACAAGACTAAGCAATTTAGATGCATTCAAAACATTCTACATTAAGTCACTCTTGATATACATATTTTCTGAGTTAAGGAAGTAGATGAACAGAGGTGTGAAATTCATGCAGCTTCAGCAGTGTAATTGCACAGCCTACACTTCATGTGTTCAAGGCGGAACACATCTATGGCCCTGCTGCCCCTTGTTTCTCATTACAGTGTTTCTGCTGATAGCACCAAAATAGTAGGGGAACCCAAACAAACCAAAGCAGATTACCAAAACATGATGACAGCAGTGTAAGACACACAGCACAAGACCCTCCTGATCACTTAGCAGGAGAAAAGCATGCTGTACTTTCACTGGAGTGCTACAGTTCTGTGCTGTGGAACTGACAGGCAGCAGTAACAAGCATCACAGTCCAGAAACAACAGAAATTGGCCGCTTCAAGGATCCAAAATGCTGCCTTTGACATCTGTGCCAGCCAGACCAACAAAGCCCTGACTGCAACAGTCCTAAGCCAGGTGGGTCACCACACACTCTAAGCATTGCGGGCAGCTTTGGTTCACTCCACTCTTGCAATTAAGTACTTTGAGAATGCACTATGAATCATAACAAGCAAACACTTGGGCATCCACCATGTGCATGCAAAGCGGAAATACACTTCAAATAACTGTTAGGGCTACAACTGATGGTGAAGTAAAGCAGCACAAGAGGAAAGGGGCACCACAGGTTCCATTATATTCAGTTACCCTGCAGCTTTTCAACTACAGAACTGTGAAGAGGACTTGCAGCCCAACAGAGGGGGTCTCACAGCCTGGGCAGGAGCTCCAGCACCCATCCTTCCAGCCCTCAGAGAGGCACGGAGGGGCAGGCACAGGCTGGCAGCCATCTGAACCATTCTCTGCTTTCTGCAGGTGTTACAGCCAATGCATTGGTATTACATCCCAACCAGTCTTACAGAATAGAGGGCATTCCCCTGCAAAAATAACCCTTAAGCTTCGCCTCCCAAATGCCCGGCTAACGCTGAGAACTGCCGTATTTCACAGCCTTCCTGCACAAGAGCAACGAACCAACGGGTCAGGCGTGCTTTTCAGCCAGACTTCCACGCACCGAAACCCCGCCGTCCCCACTATCGGTATTTGCGAGCCGCATCGCGATGACGGGTCACACGCGGTCTGCGCTCTCACGCCGAGCTCCCGCCGGAGCACGCGCGGCTCCCAAGGGCACCGAGGCCGCCCCGCCCGCCGCCCTCTCTCACGGAGCCAGCGCTGCGGACGGAGGCTGCGGGCGAGGCGCCAGCACCGGGGCAGAGCGCACGGAGCACGGCTCCGGGCCCGGAGCCGCCACGCAGGCCGGATCGGGCCGTGCCGCACCGCGGCCTCCGCGCGGGCCCGGCGGCTCCGCCGCCCCCCAGTTCCCGCCTCCCGCAGCGGTACCTCCTCGGCGCCAGGCTCCTGCGCGGAGGCCGCGGAGGTGGAGGGCACTTCGCCATCCAAGCGGGCAGAGGCAGCCACGGCTCCCTGCTCCATTTTGTGCGCGGCGGGGGCGGGAAGAGCGGCCCCTCCGCCCCCAAACACGGGGCGCCCCGCCCCGCTCAGCCCTCGCGAGGCTTCGGCGAGACCCGCCGGGCCGATTTGGCGGGACGGGTCGAACCCCGGAGCGCGCGATCCGACTTTCTCGCCGCTGGCGGAGCGCCCTGAACCGCAGCATCCAGATGGCGGTCCCGCACGGAAGCGCGAAGCTCCCAGCTGCCCTCTCCCCACTGCGAACGCTGCAGGCGGCGTTCCTCAGAGCTGCCTCCGGGCCGCGGCTTGCGGCAGCGAAAGCCGCGATCGCTCTGGCGGAAAAATCGTCTCTGCGATGAGCCCGTTCTGAGGCTCGATGGAAAACAGCTTACCAGCAATTCTTAGTATCCGGCTGTCCCACTGCAGCTTCAAACGCTCCTAGCTTCTGTTTACGGGAAATGCTCTAGAGTTCCTTACAGCTTGCCTTTTGCTGGCAGTTCGCAGGAACGTTACACACAGTACCCAGCAATCAAGCTGCTGCTGTCATGAAAGATCCCCTTCGGATATTACTTTCTCGTGTGCCTGACATCTGCATTCAGCAATTAGCTGAGAAGTTCTCACTTCTTGCAGGCTATGCTGGATGCTCCTGTGGTTCTGCAGGCCATCGGCTGAAAAAGACTCATACAGTGCTATTACCAAGCAGTAATCTAGTAAGTTACCAAAAATATATGGAGGTGTGTTTTATATTTACTATTTTTCCTTCTTACACAACATGTTTTCAAAAGCATTTGCAAAACCCCACAGAATTTCCCCAAATTCTTCTTCATTTTTCCGTGGCTGGGAGGCAAAGAGCTAGTTGCCATGTAAAGAATGAGCTGCTGGCTCTTTGCTTTTCCTCTTTTACCCTCCTCTCATTTCAGTCTGCAAACACAATTGGCAGGGCTGCATGTGCTGTGCCTTGCACTCAGAGTTCATAACAGTGCTTGGTCCAGTTCAGGTGGCATGTTGTGTAAACAAAGCTATGCTGTCCTTAGGCACATCGTTATTCATTTTTACATATCAGGCACTACAGACATACATAAAAAGTTGGTGAGGCATTTCTATTACTATCCAGAATGCAAGACTTCTGAGATCCTGGACTGTAGATACTCTTCTCCCAAATACAGAACGATTCTGGAGAACAGAAGACTAATTGTGCTGGTCGTAATTTCTCTAACACAGAGACATTGCTTTGGTGTAACTTTTAAAAATTGAACCATGCAAGGAAATACACGTATGCTCCTCATGAGCAGTTACCTGCTGCCAGCAGTGAAATGTCAGTTCTGTCAGCAACAGCAACGCAAGTAAGGAAAGGCGTTGTAACTACAGGTCGTGATTTGATCGTTCTCTGATGTGAAAAGGAATTGAAGTGCAGCAGGCAGCAGCACCCTGCCCGATGTCACTAGGTGGCATTGCCACACCACGGGCTGGATGGAGGCTGCAGAGCAGTGGGAAGCTGCCCAATCATACGGCTGGTTTGATCATGGGAAGGAAAAGGATAATGCAAGGCAGATGTGTAAGGCCTCTTGCACCTGCTGCTGTATAGTCATACTCAGCACTGCATTATGCAGCAGTACTGGGGGAACCCATTGTGCATTGTTAGAAGGGGCCGGGTGCCATACCTCTGGTTATTAATCTGTTTGTTTGTTCCCTTATGCATCATACAGACTTCCCATTGAGCACTTTAGACCAAAATCCACCCCTGCAGCACTAGTTTTTCCTCATTTAAATGTATCAGTGAAAACTTAGACTACAAATGGCACATGAGGCCTGCCAGCGTCAGCAGTTGACATCACGACCACTGGGAAACCAGCTGGGCTCTTTGAACCATAGAGCATGGCCAGAGAGGCCTGCAAGGACTGCCTCTTGTCTGCAGCCACCCTCATCCAAGTCCTGCATGCTGCTCAGCCCGGCACAGCATCCACAGCCTGCACCTGCCTGCCAAAAGCAGGCCCCCAAATGGCAGCCCCATACAGAGCCCCATGCTGGCCTGAGGGAGCCTGGTATCACCAGCTGCCATGAGGTCACTCGAGAGCATCTCAGTTATGGGCACAGGCAACAGCCTTAACATGAACTGTTCATACAGAAGGGGCCTTGTTGGTTTTGCTTTTGTTTTGGTTTGAGTTGTAAGCACCATACTCATGCCTCAGTTTCCTGTATCCAGTTTTCACTTTGCTCTACAGACAGTCTCCAGAGTGGACAAGAGAACATACAAACAAGACATCATTCAGCAGTGAAAAATAAGAAAATTGCTAGTAGTAGTGTCCAAAAATCCAGCCCAGTGGAGAGATCTGCTAGTTGCCCCTCAGCTCAGCTCAGCACATCACCCCAGCTGCCCAGGACACTGCCTGGTACCAATACAGCAGGGCAGGTAGAGGCCAGGGCTGTGGCCACTCTAAACCACGTCTGTTGAGGCTGCCATAAACCAGGCTATAACAAGCAATGGTACCACTGTGTGTGCTGCCCTGAACCACTGATTTTGCCCACCTATGCACAGTGATGTCCTGTGTATTCAACAGGCCAGGATCCTAGTTTCATTGGAAGTGAAAGACACTTCAAAAGTGTTTTTTAGATCAAAGCAAAAGAGGTCAAAATAGATTTTTCCAACAGAAATACAGTGATTTGGCAGTATTGAAAACGTATAAATAACCTGCCTTCAAAGAGACAGCATATTACAAAACGTTGAGTGTTTGTGAGTATTGAGCAAGCAGGTCAGTACAGTGTAGGCTTGATCTCTCTTTAAAGCTTCCTGAAACAGTTTTTTCACAAATTCTCTTCCCAAAATAAATTGTCTTAAGCAAGAGCATATTCTGGTGATTGATTTCACTGTTATCACTTAGCATATCACAGAGTATTTGTAAATGTAACAGTGCTCATACAAAGATTTTAGGATGTACCAGGGTTTCCTTTGAGTCCAAGCAATGTGTGGAAGCATGCTGCAAAGCACAGTCTTGCAAGCATGGCCGACACATTCCTGAGGCCAATAGCCATCACAGCAGTAAGCCACAGGCTTTATCATGCTGTGGAAGTCCTCTTGCTTTCATCCTGTTTGGATGCTTTTATTTGCCAACATCCACTCACAATAGAAGACCAGACTACACCTTTTATGTTTTCCAAAGCATTACCAGTTTCTGCTTCAGGAGCTGTTAAGCTGGAGTAGCTCTGGCTCACTTATTAAAGCCTACAGAGAATCTGCTTCTGCTCCCCATGCCTTGTGCTGTGCTTCCCTGCCTGGCTGGCTTCTTTCTTCCTCATCCTGCCATCAGCCTTCCTTTTCTGCAACAATCTCAAGCACAAAGCTGCCACCAAATTGTTCTTCCTTCCCTGCACTCACAGATATGGTTCAGAAGCCTGTGCTGCCTGAAATGCACTCTCTTTGCTGCAGTACCCTCTACTCCATGGTAACTGCACACAGTATTTCCCCATGGGATACCGAGGGGAGGGGCTGAACGTTTCCTGTAACGTGGCTGAATGTGTCCTCGTGAACGGATAGAGTGAAACATGCTGTCTGTGGGGGAGCAGGGTGGGAGCTGTCAGGAGCAGCTGGAACACATATACACTGTCATGGCTTTTTAGTGGCACGGGGCATTCTGCTGGCTGTGGGAATGCTGCAGAGGCATGCCAGCATTTTGCTGAGTAAGTGTGGTGGGAGCCCCACATGTAAACAGGGTTCAACCACCGGGTGAAAGAATGGGCTGTTCCCCAGACTGGAGCTGCCTCTCAGCTGCACTCAACCTCTGCAAGGCTTTATAGGTCAGCATGGGGTAAGTTGCTAGCTAGACACTTTGGATGTGTTTCCCGCTTGAATGTGTACTTTGGTTGGATATCAGAGAGGGTACAGCTGTGGTCAAATAGCATTTCTTACTCTGCATACTATTCCTAGATGTCCCTGTGAGGTTATTTGTGTTATTAACCTAGTGCAAGAGAACAGGAACTCTATCAGGGATGCTCAGCTGAGGGCACGCAAGAGCAGAACAGAAAAAGACAAGGAAGGACAACCAAGAGGCCAGAAAAAGATGCAGAGGCAGAATTGCTCCCAACAGTGGGTTTCTTTGCTGTCTGTAGCTGCGTGTCTGTGGAGACAGCTTCATCAAGCAACAGGGGTTGAATAGTTAAGTGCAATACTCTATCATCTAATGCAGACAAGTAGCAGAGACAAAAGAGCACAGGTCGTGTGATAGGGGCACATCTTCTAAATCAGTGTCCGAGGAGTGTCGTAGTGCCAACATTTCGGTTGCCTGAAGATTAGTTATTAGAGCAACACATTGAGGGAAAAAACAATACTGTTGTTTTTGTAAAAAGGTGGCCTAGGGAAGTGCAAGTCAGTATGAGTGAAATGGGGACTAACAGTGGTGGATGCCAGTTTTGGTCTCTGTATGCCAACAGGGAGATAGAAATAGCTGGAGAGAATTTGAAGGGAAAACATAAATATTACCCAGACAGTAGAAAACAATCCTTATAAATAGCTGCTTGGGAGCTCAGCCTCTGGCTGCAGAAGGGAAGGTAAGGGGTGATGTGATCCCTGCACAGTGAGACATGCTTGGTATTTGTAGTGGTGAACTTTTTAATGAAATAAAAGTCACAGAGCAAGAGAAAATAACCAGAAGGTCAAATTTAGTTGAATTTAGGTTTCAAATAAAATGTAACATACTCTGTAGAAGAGCACAGGAACAGGCTACAAGGAAATCTTTTCTCTCACCATTGCTTGATGTACTGAAGGTCAGATTAGATAGCTCTTTAAAAGATGTGCTTTAGTCCAGACCTGGGAGAAACGTTTGCTTGTGGGAATGTCAGCCCAGATTACTGTGGCATCTCTTCCTGTTTCGATACCCACACATTTGTCAACCAAATAAGTCCTCCTGTTCTGCCTTTCCTTTCCTTCCTGATTGCTCCTCTCAGCAGTGCAGTGAGGGCTTTCACACTGTGCTCAGCATTCCTCACAGCACCATTAGCTCTGCGATATGGAAACGAGCAGGTTCAAATAGCACACCTGTGTGTTCCAGTCAGGTG